ACTGCTATAAGCGATGATCGATTCTGCGCATGCGTATCTCAAGCCGTCCGTTTCACCACGAACATTCAATCAATCAACCTTTATCTATACAGGTAAATCCAATTGAGCCTCGAGGACTCATTTACAAGAGAGACCTGATTTCAACAAAGAAAGATGACAACAATGGACAACAGCAACAACAATAAGCAATTATAAAAACTCATACTACAGTTTTTTTTTTTTTTTTTTTTTTAACAAATAGGATGGCTAAAAGGAAAAAGGTAACAAAACCAAAAAAACAGCTAGATTCCAAGACAAATGTATAAAACTAAAAACAGGAACATGTCAGCATTGGACCCTGCCAGGAGTCCAACAGATTCTTAAAGCCACTTAGAGAGGTCAAGGTCGAGAGCTTCAAATCTTTTTGTAAGATATTCCAGGAAACAGGAGCGGAGTAGGAGAAGGCCCTTTTGCCTAGTTCAGTCCTCACTGAGGGAACACTGCAGGTAATAATGTCCTGAGAGCGCACTCCGTAGCTGCACTCACACAGAGACATGTAGGAGGAGATGTATGAAGGCAGCAGACCAAGAAGTGATTTAAAGATGAAAATGTACCAGTGGGAGAGTCTGTGTGAAGTTAATGGTGACCAGGTAACCAGTGAGTACTGGGTGCAGTGGTGGGTACGATAATCACAGCCAGTTATGAATCTTAGTGCACCATGATAGACAGCATCCAACATCTGCAGCATCCAACATCTGCAGCATCCAACATCTGCAGGGTTCAACCTTTATTTCTACAGGTAAATCCATAGAGTCTCGAGGACTCATTTACAAGAGACCTGATTTCAACAAAGATGATGACAATAATGGACAACAGCAACAACAATAGACAGTTATAAAAAGTATAAAAAAGAACATCTTACAAAAAGATTTGAAGCTCTCGACCTTGACCTCTCTAAGTGTCTTTAAGAATCTGTTGGACACCTGGCAGGGTCCAATGCAGACATGTTCCTGTTTTTAGTTTTATACATTTGTCTTGGAATCTAGCTGGGTTTTTGTTGTTGTTTTGTTACATTTTCCTTTTAGCCATCCTATTTGTTAAAAAAAAAAAAAAACCTGCATTATGACTTTTTATAACTGTTTATTGTTGTTGTTGTTGTCCACTGTTGTCATCATTCTTTGTTGAAATCAGGTCTCTCTTGTAAATGAGTCCTCGAGGCTCAATGGGATTTACCTGTAGAAATAAAAGTTGATTGATTGAAAAAGGCATACAGATTATTATTATTATATATTTTTTAATTAATATGGCAAAAACAAGTACAAACAGCTTTATTCTAAGGCGAATGTAGAAAACTAAAAACAGGAACATGTCTGCATCGGTCCCTGCCAGGAGTCCAACAGATTCTTAAAGCCACTTAGAGAGGTCAAAGGTCGAGAGTTTCAGATCTTTTTACAAGATGTTCCAGGAAACAGGAGCGGAGTAGGAGAAGGTCCTTTTGTCTAGTTCAGTCCTCACTGAGGGAACACTGCAGGTAATGATGTCCTGAGAGCGCACGCTGTAGCTGCACTCACACAGAGACATGTAGGAGGAGATGTATGAAGGCAGCAGACCAGGAAGTGATTTAAAGATGAAGATGTACCAGTGACAGTCTGCGTGAAGTTAATGGTGACCAGTTAACCAGTGAATACTGGGTGCAGTGGTGGGTACGGTAGTTACAGCCAGTTATGAATCTTAGTGCACCATGATAGACAGCATCCAACATCTGCAGCATCCAACATCTGCAGCATCCAACATCTGCAGGGTTCTTGTAGGAGCGTTCATGTAAATAATGTCACCGTAATCAATGGAGGGAAGGAAAGTCACAGATACAAGGTGTTTCCTAACATTCAGGGTTAGACAGGATCTGTTTCTGAAAAAGAAACCCAGTTTAACTTTCAGTTTCTTTAACAAGTTTTCCACATGGAGCTTAAAAGAGAGATGTGAGTCGACCAAGATACCCAAATATTTATAGGAATCAACAAACTCAATGGGGACACCATTTGAGGATAAAATCAGAGGAAGAACTGCTGGGACCAACTTCTTGTTTGGAAAAAAGAGAAGATGCTGACATCTGATTTGAGTTAATGTAGATTCTGAAATTGGCCCTTAGCTTGAAAAAGGTTTTAATTTTGTCCCTCTTTTGTGAGTTTGACACCCCTGCACTATGTGGAGGTGTTATTTATAAGACTGAGTTTGTTGTGGCTCCTCGGACTGATGAAGTCTTTTGGATGAGACAAAATGTTTCAACTTGAACCATCCAGAAGACCTGACTTAACTTTGTTGGATCTGTCCTAAACATTTTCCACAATCTTTTTCTCTGCAAAATGTTGATCTCCACATAGTTTGGTAATGACCTTTGACCTTCACAGATTGCGTGGTAGTAACCGCTGCTGCTCTAAGGTCATTGCTGATGCCTATCCGCCTTGGTTTTGTGTGAACACACCTGTATACTCCAGGCGGAGGCGGTCCCACCACTGATGATGATCAGTTCAGCAGCAGCTCCTGGCTGATCCTGAACCTCTTGAGATCCAGCAGAAGAAGCAGAACTGGACCCAGTTTTTCACTCACAGCTTTAACGATTCGCTTTTAGAAATAATGACGAGGTGGAATCTGTCGTGTGTTTTTGTTCATCTGAGGTTTATTTAAATAATTTTAGAAGCTGATATCAGTTTTGTCTTATGTAAAACTCATAGCTGAAAGAGTGTGGACTTGTTTTTTTTATTCAACCTTTATTTCTACAGGTTAGTCCCATTGAACCTTGAAGACTCATTTACAAGAGAGACCTGATTTTAACAAAGAACGATGACAACAATCGACAATTATAAAAAAGCATACAGATTTTTTTATTTTGTAAAAATAAAATAAGATGTCACAAAAAAAAGTAGCAAAAACAGCTAGATTATAAGGCGAATCAAAGGCGACTTGATTTTTACAATAATGGTTTAGTTTTTTCAGTTCATCTTCCTGAAGATGCTCAAAAAGAGCGTCAGTATTCCTGTTAATTTTACCAAACGTACCTGGTGGATGTTTTTCACACGTGCAGCCTCATAAACATGTCTGAAACACTGTGAAACACAAACTGGTCAGCAGGGGGCGCCACAGACCGGAAAACTTTAAATTTCATTTTTCTTTAGCGAGCAGAAATAATTGGTTCAGTTGGCAAAGTTGCTGCTTCTCAACGAGCAGGTTGCTGGCTCGAATCCCGGCCGGGGGCCTTTCTGAGTGGACTTTGCATGTTCTCTCTGTGCTGCGTGGGTTTTCTCCAGGTACTCCAGTTTCCTCCCACAGACCAAAAACATGCATGTTAGACTGATGGTGACTCTGAATTGTTCCTGGGTGAGAGAGAGAGAGTGAATGGTTGTCTCATTTGTCTCTGTGTCGCTGTGATGGACTGGAGACCTGTCCAGGGGTCCCTGTGATGGACTGGAGGCCTGTCCAGGGGTCCCTGTGATGGACTGGAGACCTGTCCAGGGGTCCCTGTGATGGACTGGAGACCTGTCCAGGTGTCCCTGTGATGGAC